GTTTTTCTTCTTGTCCACAAAGTGTTTCCACTAGTAATATTGGGAATGTGATTTCTGTGCTTTACATATTACCAAATGTGTTACAGGAAAATTTCATAGGGAAAAAATGAAAGAAATGAATGCTTAACACTCTCAGTTCACATGGCCCAGTGGTTTACAAAAAATGCCCTGTGAAATCTAAGGAACCTTGAGATCATCAGATAAAAGTTGTTACTATTCAGATAAAAGGATATTATTTGTTGTTTTCCCTGGATCAATACGTGTGTTGATAATACAAGGACAATGATAGGATCTTCAGCATCTAGTATACATTATAACATCAAGTTACAGTAATACCTGGCTGTTTTGTTTTTACTAAGGGTAGTCTTGGTGGAGAAAAATGGTTTCACTCATAAATTTTCTAGATTAAACAGTAAATATTTATTTATTACACTGTATAAGTCAGAAGTCATGTGTGTTTAATATCCTGTGGGATGAAATGGGACAAACACAAAGTTCTTCTGAAGCATATTAAGGCAGAACAACTATCTCAAAGAAAATTGCTTATTTCATTGTTTAAAATGTGCACTAAATTTGATTTTATTTATGGAACGGGATTTTTACTTGTGAAAATAAGTTAGAGAAGGCTGGAGATTTCTCTATAATAGAATACATATGTATCATGTGTGACCACAAGCACCTAAAGAAAGGAAGGAAAAAAGGAAGAAAGGGAAAGTGGGAAGGAAGAGAGAAGGAAAAGAGACAGGGTGGGATGAGGGAAATGTGAAGAAGCTTGGTTATCAGAGATGGGCATTTAGCAATAATTTTCTCAAGAATGAAAAAAAGTGAATCTGAATTTCACAAAATTCACTGACGTAAAACCCAAGACAATACATCAGGACATCTGGTACATCGGTGCTTTCTCATTTCTTTTCTTCTTTCCCTTTCTCCATACTCCCTTCTCTTTGTTCTCCCTCCCCTAGAACATAGACTGTTTTTGTGTGCAGGGTCTCTGTGATCTAAGAGACAAAACCTCCTAAGAGACAAAACCATTCTACATTATCTGAGGGCATATTATTGCCTGCCTCCTTTTGGTCTAATTTCAGACAAAAGCCCCACATTTCCCAACATCTTTTTTTACTCTTTGTTTTTCCTCTAATATTGTTCTTTCTATGTACATTCTTCTCCTCTAGTGCCTATTTATAAATTTAATATTAAGCTATAATCCTGTGAATGATTTTGCTTCTTTTACTTAATTTTTGTTCACTCACACAATCCTAGTTAGCTTTAACTTAATTCAGTGTAGAGTCATCCTAGAAGGGAGTCTAGGGTGAAGAGTTATTCAGATCATATTGGCTGTGAGCATGTCTATTGGGGATTGTTTTGATTGTTAAATGATATAGGAAGGCCTAGCTCACTCCAAGGAGCACCATTCTATGGGCAGATGGTCCTGCAGATAGGCAGATGGTTAGAAGGTTATCTAACATAAGACTTCAAATAAGCCAGCACATGGCATTCTCCCATGTTTCCAACTTCACGTCCCTACTTGAGCTTCTCCTGCATGACTCTTCACAATGATGGATGGAGACCTGAAAGCATAAGCCAAATAATCCTTTCCTCCACCCAATTATCTATGGTTTGAGTGTTTTATCACAGCAACAGAGACAAAACTACAGTCCCCGTGATGACTATGAGATTAACACACATAATACTATCTGTGTTCTTTATTCTCTAAAACAATGGACACATAATGAGTGACTTTACTGTGGTAAAATGCTACTCTGTTTTCATAGTGGGCTTACTGCTGAATCATGGTTGCTATTGCAGAGAACTCTCAACAGCATTTGGAAGCTCTAGGAAGAGAGCATAGTGTTCTGAATACCAGTCTAAAAGATGAAACAATCACACACTACAACACCTCCACTGAAGAAGAGAAGGTCACTGTTTAAAAAAAAAAAAACCTAAACAGTGTTCTAACCCACTGTGTAAAGATCCAAGCATAAAAACAAGTAATATGAACAATGAGATAATTCTCAAAAAAAAAAAACTATGAACTATGAATCCAATAATCCAAATGAGAATGACTTACATGAAACCCTAGCAAAGAAATTTAAGGAAAATTATTCCTTCAAAGAAATCAGTAAAGATACAAATAAACTCTTGAATGTATCCCAAGAGAACTCTAACAGCTGAATGAAAAGAGGAGTCAATTCATGATGTGAAAATATAATTGAATAAAAACATAGAAACACTAAAGGAAAACCAAGCTTAAAGAATTATAGAAATGACAACTTCAATAAATGAGATAAAAAAGTTCAGTGAAATGCCTCACCAATAGATCACATGAATGACAGAATGTCACAGCTTGAAGACAAAGTAGAGGAACTGTATCAATTTGTAAAGATTGATATTTGTTTTAAGTATAAATGGGAAGCATTCAAGATTTGGAGGACTACATGAAAGACATGGTCTGTGAATAAATGAAGGGGGAAATTTTCATACTGACAAAATATTCTCAATGAAATCATAAATGAAAATTTCTGAAACCTAGGGAAGGGGGTGCCTATCTAGATATAGAAGACATACAAAACACAAAATAGGCATGCCCATATCATATATTAGGCAAAACAGTAAATACACAAGAAAAAAATTAAAGGTTACTGAAAGCTACAAGGAAAAATTCCTACAAAGACCTATCAGAATGATAGCTGGTATTTCAATGGAAATCTTAAAAGCTACAAGAGCTTGCTTGAAAAGACATATTATAGATTCTGAGAGACTAAAACTGCTAATCCAGACTAATATACCCTGCAAAACCATCTCTCATAATTGAATGAAAAGAAAAGCCTTTCCATAGGAAAAAAATAAAACAGGATAAAAGAATTTATGACAATAAACCCAGTTGTACAAAGGACACTAGAACGAATCCTTCAGATTGAATAGAAAGGTTAATAAATAATGCTAACATAGTTGTCAATAAATAGTAGACTAAGAAACATAAAAGATTACAAAATTGATGGGGTGACAGGAATCAATAGACACTTTTGAATGAGAATACTGAATGTTAATGGTTTCAATTTCCCTATCAAATGTCACAGCCTAGCAGACTCGACTGGAAAAAGAATCCTTCTTTTTTCTGCCTCCAACAAAACCATATCTCACCACCAAAGACACCTAGGTACTATCTTTGAGTGTGTCTTAGTTATGGTTTCTATTGCTGTGAAAAGACACCATAACCACAGGCAACTCTTATAAAGAGAAACATTTAATTGGGGCTGGCTTACAGTTCAGAGATTTAGTCCTTTATCATCATGATAGAAGAAGCATGGTGGCATGCAGACAGACATGGTGCTAGAGGTAGCTGAGAGTTCTACATCTGGATTGGCAGGCAGCAGGAAAGGAGAGAGACACTGAGCCTGACTTAAGCATTTGCAACCTCAAAGCCCATCCCCAGTGACATACTTCCTCTAACACCACACCTACTTCAACAAGAACACACCTCCTAATAGTGCCAGTCACTATGAGCCCATGGAGCCATTTTAATTCAAACTACCACTGAGTAAAAGAATGGAAAAAGGTGCCGGGCGTTGGTGGCGCACGCCTTTAATCCCAGCACTCGGGAGGCAGAGCCAGGCGGATCTCTGTGAGTTCGAGGCCAGCCTGGGCTACCAAGTGAGCTCCAGGAAAGGCGCAAAGCTACACAGAGAAACCCTGTCTCGAAAGAAGAAGAAGAAGAAAAAAAAAAAGAATGGAAAAAGGTATTACAATAAAATGAAACCAGAAACAATGTTCTATTCTAATTTCTGGCAATGTAGACTTCAAATTAAATGCAGTCAGCTGATATAAGGAAGGCCACAGTATTCTGATCAAAAGAACAATCTATGGAAAGAACATTACAAATGTAAACATATATGCACCAAACCCAAGCAAATCCAATTTTACAAAACAAATATTACCAAGTGTAAAGTTCACAGATTAAAAGAAACATAATACCCTACTCTCATATCATACAGATAATGCAGACAAAATTGAACAGTGAAGTACTAAAATTAGATGACATCACATACTGGGTGCATGGACTTAACAGAACTTATGGAATATTCCACCCCTAGAGAACACACATTATTCTGAACATCCCAAAGAACTTCTCTCTAATAGATCATATACTGGGACACAAAGCAAGTCTCAGCAAATACAGGAAAATTAAAACTGCTTCTTTTTATTTGATCACTAAGGGTTAAAAATAAAACTCAACAGCAAGAGAAGCTATAGAAAGTACACTAAATCGTGGAGTTTAAACAGCATACTATTGGATGATGAATGGATGGTTGAATAACTTAACTCTAAAAAGAAATCTAAAATTTCCTATAATTAAGTGAAAATTTAAAACACAACATACCAAAAACTCATGGTATACAATGAAGAGAGGAGTAGATATCTCTAAATGAGGATATTAAAAAGTAAAAATTCTCAAAAAACTTAATGGTGTATTTTAATGTAATGGAAAAACCAAGAACTAAGCAAATAACAAAAGCAGTAATTGGAAAAATAACTAAAATCATGAAATAGCTGTGAAAAAGTAAATAAGAGTTAGACACTTTGATTTATTTCCCTATTTAAATCTGTTTTGTTTCTCATCTCATTGCTCCAGCACTAGAATGAACAGGAGTGTCTTCCTTCTGATTTTAATAGTAATGATTTGAGTTTTTCTCCATATAATGTGGCATTGGCTAACCATCTGTCTTCATCATGTTGAGATAGGCTTCCTCAATTCTTAGATTCTCCAGGGCTTTTATCAAGAAGAAACATAGAATTTTGTCAAAGGCCTTTTATGTATCTGTTGAGATAATTATGTTATTCCTATCTTGGATACCATCTTTATTATGTATTATATTTGTCTATTTGCTTATGTAAAACTATCCCCACATCTCTGAAATAAAGTCAACTTGTTCATAATGAATGATCCTTCTAATATGTTCCTGTATTCTGTTTAAGCATTCTGTTGAGAATTTTTTGCATCTATGTTCAACAGAGATATTGATGCTGATGTCCTCCTTTATCAGGGAAGCTCCTTTTTGCAGTGGCTACATTTAATGCAGATTCCCACAAGTCAAAAAGTGGAAATAACTGATTGTGGACGATTTGGCCCTAAACTGGATATCTGTAATAATACTACCTCCAAGGCTCGGGCCAATACAGCAGAGGAGAGGGTAGAAAGCATGTAAGCAGTGAGGTCGGGGAAGAGTGCTGTAAAACTGTATCTTCTGGACATGACATGACCATTGCACTCAAGATTTAACTCGAGTTGTTGATAGAGAATGCCTGTGTAAAACTGGGAGTCATCATTTTATCATGCGTATGAAGGGTCCATGTAGCCTCATCCCTCACTGAGGAACTGTTGGTGTTGGAGAATAGGCTATCATTTTATTCAGTGGTATAGCCTTTGATAGGTTGCTTGACTTCCAGTAAATAGCTTCACATTCATGTTCATGAAAACAAGCAGTGCCTTAAAATAAAAAAAAAGTAGGAGGAGTCTGTTGGAATATCAGGGGTTTTAGTTTTAGTGGGAAAGAGAGAAGGGATGAAAGAAGGAATAAAGAACAGTTAAAAAAATTACCAAATTTTAGTATACATGTATGAATTTGTTATATATTTTAAAATTAAAACAGAAACAAAATGTTTTTCAATTTTAAGGAAAAATTAGAATTTTAGAAAATTTACAGATGAAATGAGTTTAACATCTTAATTTCAAGTGTGATTTTTTTAATTATCTCTTTTGAATTTTGAGATTATAATATAATTATATCATTTATCCTCCTTCCTGTCTCCTTTCCAAATCCTCCCATATATCCCTCCTCACTTACTTTCAAATTCATAGCCTCTTTTCATTGTTGTTACATACACATATGCATATGTATATGCTTATATATTCCTAAATACATGAATACCACCTGCTCAATCTGTATGACTTGTGTGTAGGTTTTCAGGGCTGACCATTGATATTGGACAACCACTTGATGTGCTTTTCCCTGGCAACTATTTCTCCTGATCTCAGCATTCCTTAGTTGCCCGTAGTTCTTCATGTGGGGCTGAGCCCTCTTGAGGGATCCTTGATCACTCCTTGATCATCCATCTTTGCATGTCTATTGGCGATGTCCTTGTTTAGCTAATGCTTAGGCTGTCATGTAGGTGAGACCTCCTCAGTGTAGCTTCTGACTGTCCCAAGAGACACAATCTCACAGCAAACTCCCTGTCCCCCTGACTAACCCTGAGTCCTCTTTGGAGATGGTTCCTGAGCCGTGGGTGCAGGAGTGGTTTTATATATTTATCAGTTGGGACAATGAAATGAATCAACACTCAAACATCTGCATAACACAGTGATTCAGTTATTTCCAACTGACCACATTATGACAAAAATTAGCCATGTTTATAAAAGTTATTTGACATAAATTTGGGGGATTTCAAGATCACAAAGATAAAAATGTTCACTGAAACATTTTACATTTCATAGTACATCTTATCATTAAAAAGGGGAAACTTTAAAAATGTGTATTTATGTATATGTATGCTCATGTATGTGAGTGTGTGTGTGTGTGTGTATGTGTGTGTGTGTGTGTGTGTGTGTGTGTGTGTGTGTGTGTGTGTGA